CCACTCGCTAAAGCTCAGCCAGGATTGGGAAACCCAAAGCGTCTTCGGAAGATGCCCTTGAGGCTGCTGGTCTGTGTCTAAGTTCTGTGTCAGCAGCCCCACCTCTTACCCTGCCTGGAGGGCAATCAAATCTTTGCTGATGAAAACTAATGAGAAAATAAACTATTGATCTTAAAAGCCAAACCAACAACCAGAAAAGTCCAAGTTCACTTACAAACATGAAAACAACAATTTCAGCTCCTAACTAAAGCAAACAAAAGAGCCAGCATGATCAAGCTCTGTTTATCCCAGGAGCACTGCAATGGTTGGACACTAGAGTATCAATGTACATCATCTTACCAACAGATGATAGAAGAAAAACCGCAAACGACTCAACAGACACAAAGTAATACTTTGACAAAAATAAACATGAATGATTTTTTTTTTAAATCCTAAAACAAACAAAAACCCCACAACTCCTAGCAATCAGGATTAGAAAAGAGTTGTCTTAACCTGATATAGGCTAGGTATAAATACAAAAAACATAGCATAAATATTGTAAATGTCATAAGTGAAGATAGAGCCTTAACAGAATTTCTCGAAAGTTAGTAATGAAACAACCACTGTTCTGTCACTGTTTCTGTTCAATACACTACAGGAGGACCTCACCCCCCCCATCAAGATTACAGAATAAATACATTAAAAGAACAAAAACAGAGAAACAGAGGATTTCAAAAGAAGAGAAAAAACGGTCATGATTAATGGACAATAGGACTTCTTTTGTCCTTCTTTTGAAAACTAGGGTAGAATTAATAAAATAAGAAGAGAATTCTCAAGAGTTTTCTGGCTACAACCCCATCCCATAAGGCCGAGATGCAGCTTAGTGCCAGTCATTAAAATAAGAAAAATATTTAAAAATCAATTGTGATCCTATATGCCAGCAGAATGTTAGAAAATGTAATTAAAGTTATATACACATTAATTAACCTTCATGGTGATCTTGCAAATAGTACTACTGACCCCATTTCACAGATGAGGAGATTAAGGCTCACAAAGATCTTAAGAAATATGCCCAGGATTTCAGAGCAGGGAAAGAGGGGGGCAAGGCAAAGGACGCACAGGTCTGCTTGAGGCAAAGCCCACACTCCTTCTACAAGTTTTCAAGCCATGCTGATGGCCCCTGACTTTTCCTGTATTTTTTCAGAACGAAGTAAGGGTAGTAATAGATAGCCCAGTGCTTTTGCCAAGAAGAAACCAGCTGACAAAAGTAGATTTAAGCAATTAGAAAGGGTATACGTGTCATGTTCCTGAATAGAAGACTCACCATCCTAGGACGTCAAGAGTAGCCAGACAAATCCTAAGCACGGCAAGGGTAGGGGGTGTGCATGTGTGGTGGTAAGGGTCAGGAAGACCTTACCAGATACGAAAAACACATTTTAAAGCCTCTATAATTAAAAAATGTGGCATTTGTGCATGAGTAACCAGATTAATAGAACAGAATAGAAAATTCAGAAAAAAACCCAAGTACCTATGGGAATCTAACATTATAAATCAGGAAGAGGGAAAAAAAATGGGACTTTTTATTAAATGGCTTTGGGATAATCACATAGCTATTTGCAAAATTACAAAAATGGATTCATACCTCAGTCCATATATGAGGTCGAATTCCAAATGGTTGGGGAGCTAAATGGCAAAAAAGACAGCGGTGGTAGAAGTCAGGCGAATTCCTTCCTAACTCGAGGGTGGGGAGAACCTTTCTGCCACCGACAACCTAAAAGCATGCAAGAAATGATCAATCTGACTTCTATTTTTTTTTGTTCTTGGCATAGCAGAAATTCATACATATTGCTGATGGGACTGCAACATGTTTCCACCTACAGCAGAGGGATCTGTTAAAGTCTAGAGAAATTATATGTTCATCTGACATATTCATTGTCAGATCTAGTGATCCCACTCCTAGGAATCCATCCAAAAGATTCAAGATTCAAGGCCGAAGACAACTTTTCAGGCAGAATAATACCTCCACCCGGGAACTCCACACCCTAATTCCTAGGACCTGTGAGTGCTAGTTACCTGACTTTGTAGATATGATTACCGTTAAGTGCTTTGAAATAGGGAGATTATTCTGGATTATTTGGGTGGGTCTGGCCTGTTCATGAGTCCCCTGCCAGTGGCCGAGATAGGAAGGAGGGTAGTCACAGATAGGAGGAGGAGGAGTCGAAGCCCGAGAAGGACTGGATCTGTCACTGGTGGCTCAGAGGGTGAAGGAAGCACGGTCACGGGTCTAGGAACATGGTGGCCATGGATGCTGGGGATGGTGATGGGCAGCTGGGTTCTAGAACCATAAGGGGTGAATTCTGACAACACATGAATGAACAAGGCCAGCGACACCCTGATTGTAGCCCAGGAAACCTGTGTTGGCCCTGTGACCTATAGAAGTATGAGTTAGTGCACGAGTGCTGTTTGAGCCACTTAGGGTTTGGTCCTTCATGACAGCAGGAAGACAAGGGGTGTGCACTGCAGGGGGAGCCCTGGCACGTGGGCATTGGGAGGATTGCGTTTGCAGGAAGGGACAAGGAAAATCTGCCTGCGGGATGCGTAGGGGTCCTCAGGACCCGCCTTCAGGCCAATGGAGTGAGAAGCAAGGAACACAAGTGTGTGTATTTGTTTATGTTGCCCAAAACAAGGAAGGGTAAACTGAAAATCTAACATGGGACTTTTGGGGGACAGAGGCCACAGGGTAGAGGGGGAAAGAGGAATATGAATGTTTCTAAATAGACATTTTCCATGGTTTTGACTCTGAGCTCATGCGAATGAGTTACATGTTGGAAAATAAAGTAAATTTCAAATATTTTAACAACTTTTTAAAGTAAAATGATTTTTCAAGAAAGCAGTCATTAAAAAATGAAAGCAAAAGAACAAAATGAAACCCAACCCTGGAATGAATGGACCTAGTTTTGTATGAAGCTGCTGATGTAACCACACAGAGAAAATAACTTAGAGCTCCGTATTTTGTCTGTACATCCATAGCGCAACACAACCCAAGGACAAATACACCGCATTCGACAGTCTTATTGTGAGGCATACCGTTGAAATTACCGCTGTGAAACGCTTTGTACGAGAGTAGGAGAAAGAACATAAGTAATGATGTTAATATTTCTAAAAACACAATTTTAGAAAAAAGGTATTTCAACCATAAATTCAAAGTTAAGAGTAATCTTAAGTTTGACTGGAAATACCAGCATGAACTCATGATGCTTTTTTTCTCTGTCCCCTGGAAAGGACTCTGAGATCATACCCTGAGCTTAAGGCAGATGCTTAATCGACTGAGCCCCCCAGGCACCTCTGATACTAAGGAATATTTAATTAATCATATCAGGTGTGATAAGGGCATGATAATTTTGCAAGTATCTGTATTTTAATGTAAAATTTTTATTGAAGGAAATACAGACATAAGTCAAGTACCCTGACCACAGGGTGCGCACTCAGCCGTCACCCACATCCTGACTGAGAAGCGACACTCCAGCGTGCTGGGGCCTTCAGTCACCCTCTCCAAGATAAGACCCCAACACCAAACATTACTTTTTCTTGTTTTGGAACTTTATATAAATGGAATCAAACAGTGTCTACTCGAAAACCTGAGTCTGGCTTTGTTTGCTCAACACCATGTCTGTGAAATTTCGTCCGCGGTGTTAGGCGCACCTATAGACAGACACAGCCTGAAAATTTCATGGTGAAACGACGTGCGGTCTGAGATGTGCTTTAAAACCCTGAGGCCAAATCAAACCATCAGGCCATACACCTTAAACTTAGTGATAGATATATGTGGACTATTTCTCAATGAAGCTGGGGGGCATAATGTATAAATGTGTATATAGAAATAAAATTATGTCCATGTGTATCTACATACGTATAAAGAAGTTAAACTACCTAACCAGATGAGCTAGAATTGGTCTTCATGAGATAAAGTGATTTTTCTCCTGTATTTTCCTCTCTGTGTTTTAAAGTTCGCTGTTCTCATTTTGGTTTTCATTCACTGGGGACCTCTATTCTCAGCTCGGTGTGAGGTAGGGACATGCTGTTGATTATTTCCTGAGAAAATAATGATTATTTCCTGTCGATGTGCCCTGACCAGCTGATTCTCACTTTCAGATTCCTGCATCTGTTTTCAGAAATTGTTGCTTAATGGAAGTTTTATGGATGCATGTGGACTTAATTCCCTGAGTTACGGCCAGTTTCCGAGAGTGAGTTGTCTTACAACAGAATACAAGCACAGCGAAGAAAGTCCCTGAGATTTTACTGGAGGAGAGAACTGCTATGACACTTTCTCCTTCCACAGTTTGTCTCCTCAGCTTTTTATCTCCTGCTCTTGTGGGAACTGGAACTGTGGCTCATGTGGTGCCCTCAGTCCCAGGAAACCCCGCGTCCGGGACCCTGTGGGATTTGTGCCTGGGGCTCCTCGAGCCCAGTGCCTCCCACCCTTCCCCACCCTGGCTCTCCTCAAGCCTCTCTGCTGGTCCTTGACTGTGATGTGTGTTCCTTTCTCCCAAGAAGGAAATTCCTCCTTTCTGTGTACTGCCTGGAATAGTGCTTGGGAACAAACCCGCTCTCTACATGTTGTGGACACGTTCCCTCATGCCATAGACAAGTTGTACCAAAAAAATAATCTTATTTTTACATTTGGCAGCTTATTGTTACCCGGAATTCAAAAGAAATAAATCAGCTATGCTATCTAATTTGGGTACCTAGTTGGAGCCGAAGCTCAAATGTGAAGCCCTCTTATCACTCCTTCTACAGTCCATGCAGACCTCAGCCTAACATCCTATCCCTCTTACCTTTCTACATCCTGCCCCCAGCAGCCCATCGTCTCCAGTCTCTGGCTCTCGTCCTCCAAGCCCCCGCCCTGGGAGGCACTGTGCCCCCGACTAGCCATTCTGTAGACGCAACAGTCCCCTGACTCCCACGCACAGGGCCATGAATGACTGTCTGGAAACCCTGCAGTCCCTCCCTCGAGAGCGTACCTGACCCTCCACGATCCACCTGGAGATGGAGGTCTTCCCATCGTAGCCCGGTCGGAACTGAAGCGTGGCTGAGCGGGGGCTGATGTTGGAAATGACCAGATTAGACGGGGCGCCAGGGAGCTCTAGAGACAAAGGAGAGAAAAGACGTGGAGATACAAGTTCCCACAGCTCAGGAAACACACCAAACATGTCAGTCAGTAAATGGTTTCAAAATGCCTGGATTTGTTTTCAAAACCACGTGAGAAACACTGCTTCCCCGGGGACGTGACCACCACACGATCCTTAAGCTCTGGGTGCCACACACTAGGCTCCACGCCTCGGAGGTGGGACGAGGACACATATTTATGTGGTCTCTGGATTATCCGCCCTGAAGGTCAGGACTTACTTATCTCCATGCGTGGCAGGTAATTAACAGATACTCATTGAAGGAAGAAAGGATGAAAGGATGGGATGCTTCCAGGCTCTGAAAAGAACACAACCAAACATCCACCCTCCCCTTGGTGATGACTGTGATGCCAGGCACGGAGAGTGGGGTGGGAGGGAGACAGCAGGTGCCGCATGGGGCTGCTGGGTGTGCGGGTCCTGAGTCCTAGGCCCCGGGTGTGGTTTCCAAGACAACCGCGTTCAGGTTTAAGTGTAGAGCTCTCCCCACTATGCCTGAGCTCAGTTGCTCTGGCAACTAAGTGGGTGAGAGGGGGGTTCTGATGGGCTCCCATCCTGGGAGGTTACCTGGGGCTGCAGCCTATCACTGAATAGAGACCTTTGGCCAGGCTGCCCCCCAACCCCAAAGAGCCTGCCCCACTCACAAGTGAGATGCCACCAGTCTGAAATGCGGGCTCCTGTCTTACCAGGCAACACAAGCTATTCTGGGGAAAGACTCTGGGATGGAAAGAAGGAGAGAGGGACGCCATGCAGGCGGCAGGGGCAGCATGCTGCGTGCACAGCATCTGAGGGGCGCCTCCTGGTCCAGTTCCTGGTCCTGAGGGGCGGGAAACCCAGACTCGCATGGGGACGATTGAACTCTTTTAGTGATCTGTTGGGCACTGGCACAAGGGGCCTTTTCGCATCTCGTGTAATGAATCTGAAGCAGAAAATGTTGACATCGAAGGACAAGTGACTCTTGTCTTTGTAAGTCTCCGCTCACTGGATTCTCTCCATGGTGCTCTAGATACGACTGGATGTTGACTTCCAGCACAGCTGGTGGAACACAGACCTCCAGAGGGATGGTCGTCGTGAGGGGACGCCTGGGGTCCTTCCCCAGCTCCGGGTGACCTGACCTCTCGGGGAAGCGGCAGCCTCTCCACTGCTTCCATCCCCCAAGCTCATGAAGGTGTACTCGGCATGGTGTACACCCACCCCCCGCCACTGAGCTGCTTTAGAAGGCCCTGGGGTGCTGCTGTGGGGGAGGGTGCAACTGCTGCTCCCTGGCAGGCAGGGCAGGCGGCTGAGGGCCTCTAGAAAGTGTCCTCTGAGCTTGTCCTGTGGAGGGGGGAGGAAGTATGGTACCTCCTCCTCGGCGCCCCCCAACAACTCAGAGGGCTGTTGGGCTCTCTCCGGACAGTCCCTGGGAGGAGGACACACTCGTTCCTGTGTGGGTTTCCTGCTTTACTGTATGCGTTTTACATGCTTTGCATCCTGTGCAAGAGAACAGCGGGCTCTGAACGCAGGTCCGGAGGCCCAGGCCACTCTAGGAGGGAGTGCTGATTTCGGAGGGAGCTTCAGGGCCTCGTCTTCGAAGACTGACCCGCATGAGGCAAACTGACATCTTTTAAAGAGCAAGAGGCCCACAGCTCTAATTGCAGAACTGAACCGAGAGCCCCACAAGGCTTCCTCACATTCCCTTGCATTTGTGAATTCCCAGGCAAAACACTTTCATTTCGAACACAAACTTAAAATCCGAGAGAAAAGAGTTGAGTGAAGAGCTCTGAGGCTGAAATGAGTGTGCCGCACGTTGAGGAAGGTAATCTGAATTTTCAAAAGGACAGGGCAGCCGGGATCACCGGTGCCCACACCGCAGAGCGACCAGCAGAGCACCCTCCCCGAGCCCGTGGGGACTGTTGCCTCCATCTGGAAGACCTTCCCTTCTCTCCCACCTCCTCCTACTCCCTTCTCTTATTGCAAACCAAATCGCCATGGCTTCGCTGAGTGAATAAAGCTTTATGCTCCCTATTCTTTGTTTTAATACCCCTGCCTCCTCCTGCGCACTTGGGAGGAAGCCTGCGTCTCCCTGTCCGTGGACCCTGACTGACGGTCTCCCTGGAGGACAGGACCTCGGGGCCAGCTCGCTCCCTGGGGCACGCTCCCTCCAATCCGCACCCTAACTGCAGACGCTGGAGGACAAGGCCCACGTTGGGTCACGATCCACTCGCTACCCCACCGCCCCCTCAGGAAGCAGACGTCCCTCTTCGGAAGGACCCCAGGCCCGCGCACAGGGTTGCCATCCACCCAGAACACCAGCAATCTCAGAGCACCATGCCCTTAAAGACGTGGCCACAGGGTTTTACTGACCTGGGGGCACTCCAGAAGAAATGGTGGATGAGGTGGCCAGGCCAGTCCCCGCGGCGGTGACAGCGGCCACATCGATGGTGTAGGTGGTGAGCGACGACAGTCCTTTGATTTTGTACTCATGAGTCGTGTTACTGAGGGAGTGGGTGAGCCGGGAGCCGTTCCGACCGTACACCTCCCAGGAAACCTGGTAGCCTGGGGAGCGAGAACAGAGGGTTAGCTGGGCTGTCCAGGGGCTGCTGTTGTCACTGAGGAGCTGAACCGGCAGGAGAGCCCGGCAGGTGTGCTGAAGCCAGGAGGGAACCTGCTGCCCCGCCCACACGAGACTGCCAGCCAGGCCCTTCCTCCATCCACGGGGTCCCCATCCCCCTGCCACCCAAAGGACAGCGGGAGCCCGGCCCCCAGTGCCCGAGCTGGCTTGAGGAAAGATGAGTGGTGGCTGCCAACCTGCGGTGCCGGATTTCATCTCGTGTCAAACTGTGGGTGCGTTTCATCAATATTTCCATTTTTATACGCTGATATTTTCATTACATACTACTCTAAATCAGGAACCTGCTCCTGGCTTGCCACTAATTCGTGGAAACACTGCCACTTTTTCCCTCCTGAAATGATTGATGGGAGCTCTCTGCCACGCAAAATGCTTTCCCTAAAAAGTCCCTCAATGCCGGAGTGCCTGAGTTCTCCTGCGTCCCCACTCTCTGAACCTCCTGTTTTCCTGGTGAAATCTGATTCTCCCCTGGTCTCTGTTCAGTTCAGTGGGGCCTTGTGACCACAGTTTATCCAGCCCCAGATTCCACCGTGACTTCAGGCTCAGAGAAGAACGCCCCAGCGATATCCTGAAGCAGCCCCCGTGGAGGGGAGTTTATGTGGTTGGAGGCCTGGCAGAGCATCTCCTCAAGCGGGAGACAGTGATGGAAGGTGCTCGTGGGTGCAGAGGCAAGGGGGGGCCGCTGAAAACGCTTGCTCCTCCTTCTTTCCGGTCAATAAACTCAGGGATACCAAAGCACCAAGAGGCGTCTTAAAGCTCATTCTGATGAAAGCAATAAATATAGTTAGAAACTTGTGCTTGCAGGTAAACAAGAATTTAGAGAGCATCTCGGGACTTTAATATTTTGAAAAAAACAAAAAACAACCCCCCCCCAAAAAAACGAACGTTATCTGCAGTCCCACAGCCTGGAGACTCGTGTGTGGACACCAGGCATGCAGGTTGGGTGGTGCTGATGGGACATCCGGGAGAGCAGCAGAGGGGCACCAGCCATGGCCCCTGCCCTGCATGTGCATCTCCCATTACCTTCTGGTCCCAACACAGGCCCCTGTGCTCTGCGCAGCCTACCTGGGCCATGGGCTCCCCCAGACCGCCCACTGTCCTGCTCCCTCCAGACCTCAGACTCTCCCTCCTCACACTCCCTGCGCCCCATGTCCAGCCTCCGCCCTCCTCAGTGCACCAGACAAATCAGTTCTTTCCATTTTGTTAATTTGGGATTTTGGATCTAATGGTACAATCACCAATCAAGCCTTCTGGGCAATGAGTATCAGGATCTTCAAGTGCCCAGAGTGTTCCCAACATTCCTGGCGTTCCAAGCACGTCCCCTACATTAGTTCATTCGGTCCTCACAGCAGGACCTCCATATCACCATCCCCATTTGCAACAGAGAACACGAAGGTGCAGAAGGGTTCACGAGCTTCCTGGAAACTGGCAGTGGTTTCTAGGGTCGGCCCGAGCTCCCGGCTTCCCCACAGAGCCTCCGTCCGTGCACCGGCTTCCCTCGGAAGTGCGGACGTGCGTGAGCGTGCCTGACCACCCCCCTGACCTCGGTGGGTCACTCCCGATACACCACTGAACGATCTGATCCTTGGATCTTTCCTGAACGTCCAGAAGAGAGGGCTTTGTGTTCCAAGCTTGTCTGCCAGGCAGTTAACTTGTTTAGAAGCTGTTCTTGATCAACATTTACAAAAACACAGCACGTGGCTCGTCATGGCAACCTGGACTCCAAGCCCGGAGCTTCCAGCATCCTCGGGAGGGCAGCGCTGCTGGGGTCTGTGACGTCAGGCTTGGGGGTAGGGTGGCATCGTGGATGCAGATGAGACCAAACAACACAAGCAAAGCCCCCTCCTCCCACCCCGCGCTGGCAAGAGAGCACGGCCCGGACAGCTTGCCACACACAATGGACAGAGCGGGGTGCGCGGGGGTGGAAGGGTGCCCGGGTTCCCGCACCACTCCTCAGCAGGGGGGTGGTGCATGGCGGCTCGGGAACAGCCAGAGAAAGTGGAGGGGCTGCCCCAGCCAGTGCCCGGTGCCTTTGGCAGGTGGGTGTCCTACCTGCTCTGAATGCTGCCTAACCGAGACTAATGACCGCAGGAGCTTCAGAAATAATTTTCTGTTGATCTGAAGTAAATTCTCTACAGGAGAGCAGTACATCCAATCACAAGCTGTCTGTCTGCATCCTGGCCCTCATAAATCAGGGTTTACGCAGGGTGAGTGGAAGATGCTGGAATTCACAATAAGTGCGATGGGCAATTTGCTTGGCCCTCCGGCCGCTCCTGCTCGGGGCTGCCCTCTCTTTTGGGCCCGAGGCTGCTCATTGTGCATTGCGGCTGATAAGGAAGGGCTTCCCCCAGTGTCTGGACCACCAGGGGCCCCATGTGGAGGACCACACCCGGCGCCTGTCATCCGCCCTGCAGTGGCTCCAACAGCAGCTGCATCAACAAGGAGGCTCTGGCAGCCCCAGTGCATGATGTTCTGAGGCTGGCAGTGCCCACAGACCAGGCTTTTCTTCCGCTCATGGGGGAGATACTCGGTCTGGAGCCTGGGATAGACTGGGTGGTGCTGCTGGCACGCCCTGCCCGGAGCCCTGTCCATGGGGAGTGCAGACCTGTCTGCGGGGGCAGAGTGCAGGCCCGGCCAAGGGCAGGGGTCACCAGGCAGGTGGCTGGAGGGACAAGCAGTGAGGGGCAGGAAGAACCGCCGTTGGGTTCAGCTCCTACAGGCTTCTTCCTCTGCAGTTTTTCCCAGAGCTCCTGGGACCCTGGGCACAGTTCATAGGGGAAAGGAGACAGCACAGGCCAGACAGAGTGAGACGGGGCACGTGTGGCCACTAGGAGGGAGGAGGACCCCAGTGGGCAGCCATCGGAAGGCCAAGCTCCACATAGACTATAGGCTCTGCTTGTAACGACACGGATTTGTTTAAATAAAATACGAAATGAGTTCATTAAGCCCTATTAGCTGGCGAGAACGGAGGATCATAAATTGCAATATTGGCAACCAGCGCTCGGCCGGGAAGCGCCGGCCCTGCTCGGGGGTGGCATGCGCCCGTGGCTTCCCTGAAGCTTTACACCAGGACTGAGGTGTGCGCTGTGTTCACAAAGGCCCACACGCGTATCGGAGGAAGTCAGTCCCCATGTGCCAATGTCAACCCGGGAGCCCTCACCAGGTGGCTGCGGCTCGGCTGTGGTGAAGGCCACGGGGACGCTCTGGCTCTGAGACAGATGGTGAATGTGAGCCTCATTCCAGCCACAGGACCCCCAGTCCCTGAGGGGTCTGCTGGAGACTCTCTGCTTCCAAGGGCAGCCTCCCTCTACTACGCGCTTCTGGTGTTTTGCTCTTTTGTTTTTCCTAGCACTGCCCGGCCTGCTTTGTTCTCCCTCCGGATGGCTTAAAGCAAAGTCAGACTACAAGGGCTCCCTTCTCTGCCCATCCCCCACTGCGTCCGGCTCCCGGGCTGCGGCGGGGGCCTCTGTGACCAGCACATGCACTCTGGCCATCCTGGGCTGGAGGCAGAACCCACGTCCCAGCTCCTGTGGTCCAGTTCCCGTAGCTGCTTCTCCCCTGCCCCGGAGTTCCGTTGTTGCTGGCTGTAGGTTACAGCATCAGCTCTGGGGCCAGACCAGACCCATACACGTACTCTGTCCAGGGCCATGCCCCCCTGCTGGTGGGGTCCCGGGGGCATGCCGCCCAGTGTGCTGACTGAGCCCTGAGCCGACGGTCAGGTGGACGGGGCCGCTTCCTGGAGAGGCCGCTGGCGCCTGTGCCCCGGCCAGCTGGGCTGTGTACAGTGATGCCCGTCTCCCTTGTTGGGATGAGCTTCTTTTTCCTTCTTCTGAGATGGGGATACTAACCTGTGATGATGCCGTTTCTCTCCAGGGGCTCCTGCCAGCTGACCTTGAGGGATGTGTCCAGGATCTCCGTGAAACTCAGATGTCCCACAGCTCCTGGTTCTAGCAATCAGAAATAAAGTCACCTGTTAACACCAGAGCCCCCTTCTCATTGGGTCAAATGTGTGTGGAAAGTTCTAACCAGAGAAGGGAAGCGGGAGCCCAGGCTGGGGCCCACAGGCAGGACTTGAAGGAAATGCCAGTAAGAACCAAGAAGAGGGGAGGGAATTCAAGGTGTAGAAGGCATCCCGGGCACATAAATTTTTTCATCAGCCGCATCCCAGCCATGCTGAGAACCAGACAGGCAGCAGGAGGTTCATACACACCCCATTCTCCTTCTCCTTGATCTACTCTAATGAGAACAAGCAGGCTGGCTGGGTTCTGAAAAACGGCGGCTGGCACCCGGTATCCCTGGACACGCCTTGCAGCGAGCATCTGGCTGGCGTGGGGTCTCTGCTCTGTGCAGCCAGAGCCGCCCACTGCTGGAAGCAGGGTGACACCCCCAGACCCAACCCAGAGTTCCAGGCTCCCTACCCCCAACCCCCTTCCCTTGAGGGGACCCACAGGGTTGGGTACTGTGCAAAAGTTCCAGCAACACGCGCTCCTTTGCCAGGAGTTTCTTTGAGCACAGCTGTTCTCCGTGGCGTGGGGGGCAGAGACTCCATGTCATCCATTAAAACGAGGAGCTGCTGGGTTGGAGGCCTGTCCCCGGACAGGTAGCTGCTACTCTTAGTTCCTAGCTGTCTTACCACCCCAGCACCATGTCATTTTTCAGAGGAACTGTCTGCCGCTTTGAAAAGCACCCAGAGAAAAAGTCCAAGAGGCCCAATGTGAGGTGAGCAGTCCAAGGTCATGGACGTTCATTGCCAGGGGCCCTGACCAGCCTCCTGCCCAGACCTCTCGCCCTCTTTGCAGCTGTAGCATGCAAGGACAGCCAGGCCTGGTCAGTGAGGACCTGGAGCCCCTGCATGTGGCCCTCTCATAGGGCGGCTTCCTTCCCAGCTCTGTGGGGATGGGCATGGGGGACAGAGAGAGAAGGAAGCGCTTTACGGGAGACTGGAGTCTGGGAGGGAATGGGGATGGGGCGAGGGAAGGGGTCAGAGATGGACTCCACTGCTGAGGGGCCTGGTTGGTCGTCTCCTGCAGCTGGTGGGGCCACTGGGTCAAGTTCACTCTGCCCCCCTAGGCCTCCCCCTCCCTGTGCCTAACTCTGGAGGCCACACTTAACTGAGTCAGGGAGGAAGGAGGGGAGGCTTGATGGGCAGAACCAGAGACAAAGGAGGAACAGAGGAGAATGGAGAGGAGCCAAGGGACCCACCAGCTCAGCACAGACGGAAGAGGCACACGCCCCTGCCCTGGCCCCTCCAGAGCTGCCCCGCCTCATGCCTCCCCTGCTCTGCCCTTAACCTGCTACACAGAGATCTTTTTAACCAAACCACGATGCAGTATTTCAAGCTTCAAATCGGACAGCATGAAGACAAGGGTGCTGGTTTTTCTGCGCGAGAGTAGAGTTGGGGCATCCCCCCATTCTGGCTGCTGTGGGGCTGGCTCACACAGATAGTGGGTTCAGTACTGGCTTCTCACCTGGCATCTGGAAAAAGCCTCCTAATACATCTAATTTAAAAAAAGAAAAAAAATGGAAACAGCCTCAGCAAACACACTCATCTAGGTGAAACTTCCGGAAGACGTTTTATGGCAAAGCTCCAACCCTGATAAAGGCCACTCTCGGGGCGGGGGAGACATAGAACTGCTGGGGAATCCCACTCATCTTTCTCCAGGTCTGAGTTTCCAGAAAGACATTCTGACGGATTTTTGAATGGACTTGTTCTTTTTTCGATCGATAGAGCGGCAAAGAAAGCTTTTTGCTCCTTTTATATTCTCAGTGTTTCTGCTTCTTGGATTCCTGCCCAAATCTGCTGTCCCCTAGCACTACTGGAACCAGCTGACAATGTCTAGCCTTAAAATTTATATTCTGTTTCCCCCGTACTGTGTTGCCTGCCTCCCCCACCACCCCCTTCCCCCCTGGGTTCTGATCGCCTCGGAGCTTCAGAAAAGGAGGCGGAGCCAAGGGAGGTGCCCTCAGCTGGAGAGCACATGGGGCCAGGCCAAGCCAGCTTCGACTCCCAACCTTGCCATGACACAGTGCATGCTTTGAATAGCATCAGCAGGACCCCCAGCTACAGAAAACTGGTGACTCTGGTAGAAAAATTCTAAAGAGGGGTCATCAGTTCTAGTTCTCTCAATTCCCAAGAAAGAAATGTCCAATTGCTCTTTTTAACCTACTAATGGTGGGCAAAAATTCCCTTAAGGCTCTGCTTCCTGGCCACAGAGCTGAATGGGGTGTGTCCCCACGGTGTCTGTCTGCTTGCTTAGCTGGCAACAACTGGGTTTCCGTCTTTTAGCAAAGAATTCAGCCAGGACTCTTCTCTTTTTTCTTTGGAAGGAGTTACCTTCTTCTGCCACCTCGTCTTTTTAATCAACGTCCTCTGGAAAGTGAAGTCTGATACGATGCAGTCGGACATGGCTGTGGCTTGAGCAGAGGTGTTGCCCCAACCTCTGCTTTGGAAAGTGAACTAGATGAAAACGTCCACGTAATGCAGAGGTGTAAGGGGGAGCTCCCAACATTTGTCCCCCAGCACTGCCCTCCGCACCCCATCTACACACGGAAGGGAGTTGGGCTGAGTCTTCCTACAGATGAGTGCAGAAAGTTCCCTATGTCCACGCCAGGCTCCTTCTTCCTCCGAGACCCCATGTGGGCCCCCTGCATGCCCCCCTGCAACCTCAGTCCCACACGACTGGGCCCACACCCCCTTGTCGCACACCTTGGCCCACCAGATCCCTACAGCGACTTCATCTGCTCAGGGGGCTTTACCTGCTGGGGACCTTAGAGCTTAGACACCCTGAGGTGGAATGGATTTCAGGTATTTCCATCTGGGGTTAGACCATATACTCAGTTACCTTCCCTAACCCTTTCCTGGAAAGTAAGATCGCAGTTGGGAATTGCCAGGACTCCCAAACCCACTCAGACACTGGGGCCGCGATGCCCCGCAGTCGCCACACACCAGGCACACCCCAAGTTGGTGCAGCGTCTTCACCCATCCAAGACCCATTTCCTAATTTGGTGGCCTCATTGCCCCCGTAGTCACATAAACCAAAGCACATTGAGTCATCCTGGATAATTCCTTCTACCCCTCTATCAGAGAGCCCCCAAAGTCCCTGTGACGTGTGCTCAGGATCCATCCCCCTCGCCGCTGTCTCCACGGCGTGGGTGTGGGCTCTCTTCATCTCATGCCTTCTTCCCGGCTTCCTTCACCTTGAGCTCCAGAGCCTTCACACAAAACCCGCAGACAGAACTTCTGAAACATGGATTAAGTCAAAGCACACCCCTCATGGAGAACCTTCTGTGGGTCTGTCCAAGTGCCTGAACGTAGCAGTTGAAACTCTTCTGACTCTGGTTTTCTGGGGCTTGTCCCCTCCCCGACCCCCACATGCTGCACCATGGCCACGCCAAACACCTCGATCATGTTCTCTCAACCTCACATTCTCTCCTTGCTGCCACAGATGCGGTTTCTCCCACCTGCAATGCCCTCAGTTCTTCTCGGCTCATCTGTTAAGACCAGCTCAGTTGCCACCTTATCTACAAGAGTTACCTGCTCCCCGATGCTCCTCGACCAGCTGCTTTTCACTGGGTGGTGGCAGCCACATCCCTCGACCTCCCTTCTCGGTGGCACTGGCCTCAGCCATGTCCCTCACGTCTGACTAGGTGAGAATCTCTAAAGGCAGAGGCTCTGCTCACTTATCTTTGCAACCCTTTCAACATCCAGCTAGCTGCCTCGTACATGTCCACAGACAACCTGAATATAAGTGCGCATGCTCATTTCTGCGTTGGGAAGATAGATGAATGGACCGTTCAATTAACATTTAACTACAATACAATCACAGTAGGAACAAGACTTGATGAGACAGGAGTACATTTTTTTAAAATGGAAAAGCTGATCTTGATCAGCCTCCTTTAATCCTAAATTCTGGTTGGGGGTAGTGTATACAAATTTATAATTGAAAAACAGATCTCATAGCAGAATACACATTACTCTTCCCAAGCACTCATGAAACATTCACCAAGACTGAGCATGTGCTGGGCCATAAAGCAAACTTCCAGAAACTTAAAGGAATTGAAGTTTTACAGTGTGCTTTCTAACAATTATGGAATCAGGCAAGAAATCCACAGCAGAAAGACAATAGGAAAATCTCCACACTCACAGGAACTAAATGGCACGCTTCTAAATATTGCATGGGCCAAACAGGAAGTCTTAGAGGGAATAAAAGCACATAGAACTGAGTGAAAATGAAACACAATATATCAAAATATGTGGGGTGCAGCTAAAGCAGTGTGGAGAGGAAAATTTATGGCATTAACTCTTTATAAAAGAAATGAGGACAGGCCTCAAATCAATAGTTTAAGTACCTACCTCAAGAAATGAAAAAAGGAAGACCAAAAAATAAACCCAAAGCAAGCAGAAGGAAGGAAATATTAACAGCAAAAATCAATGAAACTGAAGATTGGAAAACAGTGGTGAAAATTCAATGAAATAAGCTGGCTCCTCAAAAAAAAAAAACAAACCCACAAAAACAAAACAAAACCAAAAAACAATAAAATTGACAAATCTCTAGGAAGAATGACAGAAATAGAAATAGAGATCAGCAATATCAGGGATGAAACAAGGAAGATGATGACATATTCTACAGCCACGGGAGGATACGAAGGGAATCCTGCCAGCAGCGTTACACACACAGACACAACAACTTAGAGGATCGGTTCCTTGAAAAATCACAGACTGCCAATGCTCAACCGAGAGGAAGCAGACAATAGAACAGTACAATAACCACTGGAGACACTGAATTTATAATTAAAATGGTCCCCCAAAAGAAATAGGCAGGCCCCGAGGATTTCATTGGAAAATGCCACTAAACATTTTAAAGACAGATTGATACTAATTTTACACAATGTCTTCTAGAAAGCCAAACAGGAGCTGGAGCACCTGGGTGGCTCTGTTGGTTAAGCA